TGGCTTGTCTGACTCAAAACGATCACACCCCATCTAACTGATACAATGTATTCATGACTCTGTCAGACACAAAGCCTTCCATCTCACAAAATTTAAATAGAAAGTAAATTTTAATAGTTAAGCGAATGCAGGTTCTACTGCACAGAACCCAATGTTATCAGACAATACACCTATACCCTTATCTACAAAGCACCTCCAATTTTGTCTTATTGCATTTTTGCAGAAATTGTAAGTCTTCACACTCAGGATGAATATTTAAACCAGAAAAAAATATTGAATAAGAAAATGAAATTTTACTAATTACACTGAAAAGAGAAGGATTTCAAAACCATTTTGTGTTGCTGCAATCTAATAAGAAAACTTTTTTTTTTTTTTTTTTTTTTTAAAAAAAAAAAAAAAAAAATTTTTTTTTTTTTTTTTTTTTTTTAAACGCAATCAAAATTAATGCTGGAAGATGATCATTGCTAGATTAATTTGCATCTGAAAATCTATTTTCTTACATTACTGTATATTGAGATTAATGATAATGAATAATGTTCTACTGGTGACTTTATTCCCAAATGTTCTCAAACCAAGTTGAGTTTATCTTATGCGCTAGCTCAATTATTTCAAAATCCCAAATTTTATATCCTTCCAAGCAAATACTTACATACCTACGTAAAGTTGGCGGAACTGAACTCATCAATAGAAAGTACATCTGGCAAGGAAACTACAAAAGGATAGGGGACCCATTTTGAAGGGAAAAATTAAAACAAATTGAAATTATACTTGAGTGAGGGTAAACTTTACAACTGATTTCCAAAACCTGAGAGGCTGTGTTGGTAATATATCTTACATGAAGACTTCAGTTAGCACACCTTTTGAAAAACCTTTTTACAGAAGAATTATATTTTTTTAGACTTTACTGACGATTAGACTGTAATAAGTCCATGTCTTAAAACTGTACATATAATGACTAAAGGCTCAAACGATTTTTAACCGTTTTTTAAAATTCCAACAATCCTTTTTAATCTATTCTACACATTTAACCTCTTTGGTGTAGAGGAATTATGCTCTGCATCTGATAGCTAAGAAATCTGCATTTGCAAATTACTTTTTTTTTTTTTATCATTAAACATAAATATACATGATGCACTGATTTTATATACATATACAATATGAAAAATACCTAGGGTAGGTTTGTAAAACAATCAGACAATTGCAAATAGTAAATTTATGGTCTGAAACAAGTGCTCTAATAAATTAAAAAAATCTCCAATATCAGTATTGATTTAACAGTGACTACATAAGAAGAAACTATACCTCGATAACCTATCTTTTGAAGATCATTTCTTGTGAATTTTTTCCTTAAGAATCTTCATATTTCTGAAGACAATTTTACTTAAAGATTTGTTCTTTTCAGGAGTATCTTCTCTCATGATGTTTTTAGTGAGGAATAATTTTATGAGAATCCGTTTCATAGATATCTATTTGTGTATCCTTTGAATTTATTCATAGGATTCTGAGTTTCTTTCCTGAGAATATATTTCCTAAGAATTATTTCAGAGACTCTTAATTCCTCGGACTCTATTTCCAGGGAAATAAATGATCTCCTAGGACTCTATAATCTATATCCTGGGAATGTTATATCTAGGACTCTATTTCCTCAGTAAAATTTCCTGTAAATCTTTTCCCAAAGGATCAAGCTCCAAATAGTATTAGCAATCCTGTTAATTTCAATCTCGAAGGTCTTTTTCGTCAGAATCTTTTTCCATGGTGCTTTGACATATTTTCACAGGTGAGAAACACAAGTCGTAATATCAATATCAAATCCTCCAATAATATTGAATGTTCCATTTCTGAAAACAACAACCTGTTAACAACTTAGGGTACCCATGTACCACTACCAATAACTGTCACTACACACAGAAAACGGTCTCCTTCTGACATGATTATAGCTGTGATAAATCATGACCGAAAAGAAAACCATATCTTGCAGGACTTTAAAGAACAAGCCATTTGGATTGATATGTCTCGCCTGTGCCCCGCGGATTGATTTGTCTCGCCTGTGCCCCGCGGATTGATATGTCTCGCCTGTGACCCGCGGATTGATACGTCTTGCCTGTGCCCCGCGGATTGATACGTCTTGCCTGTGCCCCGCGGATTGATACGTCTTGCCTGTGCCCCGCGGATTGATACGTCATGCCCGAGCCCCGTGGATTGATATGTCTCGCCTGTGCCCCGCGGATTGGTACGTCTCGCCTGTGCCCCGCGGATTGATACGTCTCGCCTGTGCCCCGCGGATTGATCCGTCTTGCCTGTGCCCCGTGGATTGATATGTCTCGCCTGTGCCCCGCGGATTGATATGTCTCGCCTGTGCCCCGCAGATTGATATGTCTCACCTGTGCCCCGTGGATTGATACGTCTCGCCTGTGCCCGCTTGACCATCAATGCATATGTCAAGTTTGGTTGGTGTAGCACTTATAGTTTCAGAGAAACTAACTTAAACACAAAAACTTAATGTTGCTGCCGGAAAAGCATCACCTTAGTCTCGCTTCCCCTAATGGCGAGACAAAAACTAATAAAGATGAATTAAACAAGAAATCATCTACAACAGTATTCCGAGTATGAAAAATTCAGCGGGGCTTATAGACTGGATTCAAACCCCTGACCTCAGAATGTTAATACTATCCCTCTTTAACCAACTAAGCTACTTGGTCAAAGGAAGTGTTATACTCCACTGTGTTAGGTATATCTAAAAAGAAACTTAGGAAAGGTTACAGTATATATACGAAAAACCATAGTGGCATTCTCTAGCGCAGTAGGACATTAGGGTCCTTAAACATGTAAATGTGATATTACTGGTGGATTAGTCAATGGTTAAGTTAGGTGCTACTGTGGAAAAAAATAATGCCATTAGAATCACTGCCCCACCACAAAACAGAACACTAAATATATGCTTTCATTACATGCACTATAAGACACATACATATGTGGAGGTATTTAGCAAGTGGCATATGACCAGCAGTTAATGCCAGATAAGGTAGCTTCTGCAAAGTACTTGCATTGATTGTATTAATTTTGCATTTATGTATTGTCTTGTATGAGTGGCTTTAGTGATATTATGGTTACCAGATGTCAAAATTTGAGTGTGATTACACTCAAGTCTATGACACTTGGATATCAAAACAAAAGCAACATAATTAACAGAACAGCTAAATAAATTTCAAAAACCAGATGTCTAACGCAAACAGTAAAATGTGTAACAGCCAGCTAGAGTTTGAGCATCATTAACGCATTCACCCCTGAAGACATATTTGAACTCCTCCAATTCAACGGGTGGAATAGTTCATTATGAAATTTCAGGGGTGAATGAGTTAAGATTGGAAGACAAAATTGCAGTAGTATCAAGGTGACGCTACTGTAGCTTCTGTATGATGGAACAACAATAAACATGCTTTCCAAACATTTTATAATAACATCGAGGATGATATTAATGACCAATTTCTGGATGACAAAAGAACTTGTACACATGTAGGTATAATGCTGTTCTAATAATAGCAAATACATGTTAATGACTAATATTAAAATAAACACAGGACAGTAAAAAGAAAATCAATCTTGCCGTGATTTTTTACCGGTCAGAATTGGTATAATGTATTGGCTGTTGACACCAACAAGCTTTGTTTTAATTAATTAGGAACACTTTGTGTCATAGAAAGTTTGTTGTTGTCCATAGGAAGTAGGCCATCCTAATCAATTTCCTTCTCTATACATCAACTAATTTAGCAGTAATTTATACGGATGGGAGTTTTGGATGTGATAAGTGGAAGCACTGGTACAGTGTCATTAATCTGTATTGTAAAAAAATGTAATTATCAAATGGTCTTATAGCCCAATACCTCTATACCTTTTATCTACATATTTTAATCAGGTAGTACAGTCAGTTATACCCTACAATCTGTATATGTATAAGAATATCATTTACATTCAATACCAACCAATGTTATGTTGTTATAGGAATATTTCCAACACTCAGTACAACTTCCATAGCCTTAAACAACCTGAATCGTTAAAGAAATATTATTAACATTCATATCAACCTAAATAGCCTACAAAGCAATGCATCAAAATTTAAATTTTTACACAAACAATAAATTAGGTATCAAACCTTCAGGACTGACTGATCTATGTGTTAAGTATCAGCCTATATACTGTAAATTGTAATAGGCATATTTCTATCAAACACGCAGTTCAGCCTACATTTAGCCTACATGATGTATTGTAACATCCGGTACAACCATATATAGTGTATGTTCTACAGCTGACATTAACTGTTATTTGGATATTATAATCAACGCCCAGTGCAGCCTGTACATGTTCTGTAAACATACAACCCTTACTGGTTTAGACAATCAACGCCTACTTTGTAACAGCCTAAAGCGGATATTATACACTTATTGTCCTTGTTATAGCAATAGGGAAACATGAATCCTTGTTTCCCTGAGACTAATGTTGTATCCTTAATGTTGCACAGAAGGCAATTATAAAATCTGTAATTACAATTTTGAAATGAACCCTAAATTGGACTATAAGTTCAGCTATCATCAATATTAATTTGTGATGCATGGTTTCTTTTTAAATAATTTTCTTTACAAAACTCATGGACTAACTTGTGATGGTATATTTCTTGTCAGAACATCTTTCTACAAACTCATATGGATATGGAACTTTCTTACTGCTTCCATTATAGTTAATACAAAAATAATTATCATCTATTTCACCTCTATGTAACTTTAGTAAACTCTACCATGCATTGATCTGGATGAGTCCATTATGGTCCACAGTGGTGAAAGAGTTATTTCACAACATATTTAACCAAACTAGAAACAAATATCAAAATCAGATCCCAGGAATAAAAGAAAGAAAAAAAGGACAATTATACAAAGTAGATCGAGTGTTAATTAGATTTTACCTTCATTTAAATAATTGTAAGAAGATAAGAATGTGTCGATACTTACCCTGACTTCAATGTTGAGATATTTGTCAGACTTTTTCTGTTTCAACCTCTGCAAGAAGTTTTCGGCCATAATAGGGTCTCTCTTGACAGCTGTCACCGCTTTCTCCTCTCGATCTGAATTAGAAACATCAAAGCCAAATGCAGATCTGAGATTGTTGATACGTCGGTTCAATGCCACCAGTAATTGTTTCCCCATATTTCCTGCTTCACTCATCAAGCTTCAACATCAGCTTCACAATCCGAACGAAAATCGTAGGAAAATATTTCATTTGAATTTCAGAAATATCCTTTTAACTATAGTACATGAGGATTGTAATTTGTATGTGAGACACTGTTTACTGATGGCCACGGGAGGGCGATGTTTTGGATGTGCAGTGTGGACTCTCTCTGCACACCCATAGCTTAGTCACCATACTCGACAGATTTCCTATTTATGGAACGGTGAGGAAACCAAAATCTAACATTGTCACATGATTCTTGTGTGCTGTCGCCTTTTTTATCTCCTGGTTGTCCGTGTTAGCCCGGTGACACAGTCAGGAGATAGTACGCTAGTGTAGCACTAAGCGCATGTACCGTGTAACGGCACAATTACACGCTGACATCACAAATAACAATACCTATACTCTTCCAGTCGTGCGGGACTCTATTTCCGTCTTAAATTGTCGTGACAATTATAAATATCTACAGCTGTTACTACTCATGAAATAACTGAATTGCGACAATATATGACCCTTTGTCTCAGGATACACACAGTATCCGCTCTCTCTAATAATCCATAATTCTGTCTGAATCTCGACGAGGAGTGAAGACGCTACACTTTCTCCAGCTCATTTCCAATGGTTGACAGATGCATGCAATTAAAACATGTACAGATCAGCACATAGAATTATGAGATCTATGATAAAACTTATGTGTCTATCCGTCGGGGTGTACTGAACCCCTGATCTAATGGCAATGATTACTATACTGAGATGCCAGCCGTGTTACACCTGCAGGGAAAAGTCAACACGAATATAATTCTAAATTTCTGGTGCTGGCAATTGATTGCAGAGTGATTGTAGGTAATGTGGCGGTGTCAATGAGAGCATACCCAGCCTTGGGAAACTTTGAACTGAAATCCACACTGTGACAGAATCAGTGGATATAGGCCGATATTTGCCTAGTGGCAACCGGTATTGATGTTACGGTAACAATAGGCCATACATGAATATAAACATTGAAACAGGGACACTTATATATATACTCAGCCGACTTCCCCATCCGCTCCAGCGGCCAATTAATCATTCATGGTCGTTGGTAATAGTACTGGAACCACAGCGTGGCAGTTGGAAGTACAGAATTTCACCAGGTACAGACTTATTTGTCACACAACAGTCCGCACAGGTGTTAAAAGGAGGCTGACAGTTTTAAACATTTACGTTAGGTATTGTAATATTTACATTTGAAAGTTATTAGTATTGTAGGGATACTTGGGACTATATATGGGCAGATTCTCTATGGTCTATATACATTACAATCTAAAACAGTTGAAGTTTGGAGTAGATGATGATTTAGGTGACAATTGTAACAATTAAAACGTATTTTAGAAAGTATGACAATGATTAGACAGTATGTGAACAGAACACAGATTCTCTGTATTCTTGTGTTCTATATTGACATACAACTCCTATATTATTTTAACCTTATAGTATACTCTTGTAACAGGAAACAGTAGTGTGCTTCCATCAGTGATTAAACTTTAATTATTTTACAACAAAAGAGAAACAAGTTCTATCAACTTATCATCTTATCATCTTATCATTCTTGTTTGCCGGATGGGAGAGCGCCCTTAGGGACCTTTAAATTTGGGAGGAAACAGGAGTACCTGGAGAAAACCCATATGGTCAGGCAGGTGACCATCCAATGGGAAATCAAACCCAGGCCGTCGTGGTGAAATGCGAGTGTGCTTCCACTGCGCCACACGACCGTGCACCCAACGGGGATCAAACCTGTGTTCCCCTCTTTCCCAGTCGCTGTTCTATTAACTGAGCTAAATCTAAACGAAGACACACGTGATTCTATGAACAATAAGAACCTGCCTCACTCTTTAAATAGTAAACTGATGCATTAGACTTCTATATCATTTCATTCTCTAAAAGCTTCCAATTGTCTTTTATATTTTCGTACTCTCACAGCTAAAACATACCAACTATCCTTGCAGATTTTACATCCCCACAAACAGGATTTTTAATAAAGTATAGCTTTACTGATGAAACTCTTCACAGAAATAGATTTTGTTTCAATCTTTTGCTATTTTCAGCATCTCTGCACTTAAGTTCCACCCAGTGTATCCACACACCGATAAACGCATGTCGGATATCAACATATATTTCAATGTCCATATAAATGTATAAAAAGTGATTTGTATTATCGCGTAAGGTTGCCATGTCAACACGTATGTCGTCCCATGGAATCGTTCGGTGATGCTGTTCTGTCTGAATCATTTGTCACAGATAAAATTCTACCTATACCTGATGGGATCTGTCTGTAATCAGATTAAAAACGTGGAGAGTATCTATCAATCTCTGTTTCACCGACACTCCTATCTATATCATCAATCCCGTTTGTATACACGTCTACTTGATCCATTTGTTGATGCCAGAGTACAGTCTGTTTACAGAGGATAGAGTACAGTCTGTTTACAGAGAATAGAGTACAGTCTGTTTACAGAGAATAGAGTACAGTCTGTTTACAGAGAATAGAGTACAGTCTGTTTACAGAGAATAGAGTACAGTCTGTTTACAGAGAATAGAGTACAGTCTGTTTACAGAGAATAGAGTACAGTCTGTTTACAGAGAATAGAGTACAGTCTGTTTACAGAGAATAGAGTACAGTCTGTTTACAGAGAATAGAGTACAGTCTGTTTACAGAGAATAGAGTACAGTCTGTTTACAGAGAATAGAGTACAGTCTGTTTACAGAGAATAGAGTACAGTCTGTTTACAGAGAATAGAGTACAGTCTGTTTACAGAGAATAGAGTACAGTCTGTTTACAGAGAATAGAGTACAGTCTGTTTACAGAGAATAGAGTACAGTCTGTTTACAGAGAATAGAGTACAGTCTGTTTACAGAGAATAGAGTACAGTCTGTTTACAGAGAATAGAGTACAGTCTGTTTACAGAGAATAGAGTACAGTCTGTTTACAGAGAATAGAGTACAGTCTGTTTACAGAGAATAGAGTACAGTCTGTTTACAGAGAATAGAGTACAGTCTGTTTACAGAGAATAGAGTACAGTCTGTTTACAGAGAATAGAGTACAGTCTGTTTACAGAGAATAGAGTACAGTCTGTTTACAGAGAATAGAGTACAGTCTGTTTACAGAGAATAGAGTACAGTCTGTTTACAGAGAATAGAGTACAGTCTGTTTACAGAGAATAGAGTACAGTCTGTTTACAGAGAATAGAGTACAGTCTGTTTACAGAGAATAGAGTACAGTCTGTTTACAGAGAATAGAGTACAGTCTGTTTACAGAGAATAGAGTACAGTCTGTTTACAGAGAATAGAGTACAGTCTGTTTACAGAGAATAGAGTACAGTCTGTTTACAGAGAATAGAGTACAGTCTGTTTACAGAGAATAGAGTACAGTCTGTTTACAGAGAATAGAGTACAGTCTGTTTACAGAGAATAGAGTACAGTCTGTTTACAGAGAATAGAGTACAGTCTGTTTACAGAGAATAGAGTACAGTCTGTTTACAGAGAATAGAGTACAGTCTGTTTACAGAGAATAGAGTACAGTCTGTTTACAGAGAATAGAGTACAGTCTGTTTACAGAGAATAGAGTACAGTCTGTTTACAGAGAATAGAGTACAGTCTGTTTACAGAGAATAGAGTACAGTCTGTTTACAGAGAATAGAGTACAGTCTGTTTACAGAGAATAGAGTACAGTCTGTTTACAGAGAATAGAGTACAGTCTGTTTACAGAGAATAGAGTACAGTCTGTTTACAGAGAATAGAGTACAGTCTGTTTACAGAGAATAGAGTACAGTCTGTTTACAGAGAATAGAGTACAGTCTGTTTACAGAGAATAGAGTACAGTCTGTTTACAGAGAATAGAGTACAGTCTGTTTACAGAGAATAGAGTACAGTCTGTTTACAGAGAATAGAGTACAGTCTGTTTACAGAGAATAGAGTACAGTCTGTTTACAGAGAATAGAGTACAGTCTGTTTACAGAGAATAGAGTACAGTCTGTTTACAGAGAATAGAGTACAGTCTGTTTACAGAGAATAGAGTACAGTCTGTTTACAGAGAATAGAGTACAGTCTGTTTACAGAGAATAGAGTACAGTCTGTTTACAGAGAATAGAGTACAGTCTGTTTACAGAGAATAGAGTACAGTCTGTTTACAGAGAATAGAGTACAGTCTGTTTACAGAGAATAGAGTACAGTCTGTTTACAGAGAATAGAGTACAGTCTGTTTACAGAGAATAGAGTACAGTCTGTTTACAGAGAATAGAGTACAGTCTGTTTACAGAGAATAGAGTACAGTCTGTTTACAGAGAATAGAGTACAGTCTGTTTACAGAGAATAGAGTACAGTCTGTTTACAGAGAATAGAGTACAGTCTGTTTACAGAGAATAGAGTACAGTCTGTTTACAGAGAATAGAGTACAGTCTGTTTACAGAGAATAGAGTACAGTCTGTTTACAGAGAATAGAGTACAGTCTGTTTACAGAGAATAGAGTACAGTCTGTTTACAGAGAATAGAGTACAGTCTGTTTACAGAGAATAGAGTACAGTCTGTTTACAGAGAATAGAGTACAGTCTGTTTACAGAGAATAGAGTACAGTCTGTTTACAGAGAATAGAGTACAGTCTGTTTACAGAGAATAGAGTACAGTCTGTTTACAGAGAATAGAGTACAGTCTGTTTACAGAGAATAGAGTACAGTCTGTTTACAGAGAATAGAGTACAGTCTGTTTACAGAGAATAGAGTACAGTCTGTTTACAGAGAATAGAGTACAGTCTGTTTACAGAGAATAGAGTACAGTCTGTTTACAGAGAATAGAGTACAGTCTGTTTACAGAGAATAGAGTACAGTCTGTTTACAGAGAATAGAGTACAGTCTGTTTACAGAGAAT